GCTCAGTGTGTAGGCCCTATACGATCATTTCCTGATAACGATGAAGCCATAGCCCCACCTCTGCTGCTCACTGCTGTAGCATGGTCAGTAGCTACTGCTAGCTCCTCTACCACAACCATCAGCAACCAGTGGACATGGAGAATTTCATGAACTACATGTTGCTAAATCTACCGCAGGGCATAAACAGAAGGGCAACCATGCTCGGGGGGCTTCTTCACCGCTTTTGGTGTATTTTGTGGCAGAAGTACAGCGCCACTTACAGGCCCGGCATATGTACTACAGCGTTTCCAGTGGTCTCGTGTGAACGGACACGTTAAATGAGCCAAATGTGTGTGAACGGAATACTTTTTTGACAACGAATTCAGTCCATTTGCGCTCCCGTGTAAATGGGGTCTAAATGCTGCCGTGATGAAACGCCATCATGTTCCAAACCACACCAAGAATTATTTCTGTATGGAGCAATAATTTCAGTATGGAACTCAAATGCTTTTTCTCTTGCGGGTTTACCACAAGGTGAGTTCCTTTTTTTATTTCCTGCTTTTTTACACATACTCTCTCCAGTACAGTTTAGCTCTGAGTGTTAGCGATGCTTACTAATGTAAACAAAGTCCATATTACTTAAAAAACGTTGCGCACGTTTCTGACTTTCGGATATTGCGTCATATCGGACGCAAATCTGGATCAGCTCCGTTGTAGCCCCGTTTTTAGAGATGTGGGTACGGAGGAAAAAAGAGAGGGTTTTCTTTTCTGACACTTTGTGAGTTCCCTGGCACCGGGGCCACATATTTATGTATAAAAGACATCAAAAAGTGCATTTTGCATAGTAGGACACCTTTAACACTCAGTTATGCCTACTTACACATTCCTGCTGTCCAGTGTGCGATAGCCACGAGAGCGCGAGCTGTGCGGGGCGCTCTGAAGTGCGGCGATGTCGAAAGCGGCCGTGTCGGCCTCGCCCCCCCCCTCGTCGTCATACGTGATGATGTTCTCACGTACGTCGTCCTCCTCCAGCGGCGACAGGGAGTCACGTTTCTGCCGGCGCAGAGACAGCGACAGGCCACTCACCGCTGCAGAGGGACGGCGGGGGGAATAGAGGATATTGAGGCATGGGAGAGAAATTGGAAAGAGAATGATTACCAAGGTGGGAGGGGACAGAAGTCACAGGGGAAATAAAGGGAAGGAGGAACATGAGGGAGGGAGAAATATGCAGGCAGACAAAGAGGCAGACAAAACAAACACAGAAGAGGCCTTGGGTTAGAGTGCTGGTAAACCATATCAGCAGCATCGCATGCCTCAGCTGTGTAATTGACTTTGAGCTCCAGTCAGGCAAATGGACGCTTTATTCTCCCATGAAACCTTATTACATATTCCCAGAGCAGAGAGCCACATTCGACCCACAGCTGTGGGCAAAGAACCAAACCTCTTTGACAGTCGTCCTAGAACCTGTGATAAAAATCCACCTAGAAATATGGATTTGTTCTGCTAAAGTCATGCACTATTCGAGAAGTATTTTGTTAACCTTAATAAGTCCTTGTTTCGGGAAATTTGATACTTTTACCTTCTGATCAAAAAGGAACCCCAAGGACATATCCAAAAATGATCCAGGAATAATTGATGTTCCCTTAGTCTCATTACGCCCCAAAAATACAGAATTAGCAGTAATTCTTTATCAACGGGTCTCTCATTTCACATAAATGATTTGACTGTGTCTGGTCACGGTTACGGGGTTGAACAATTTCACTGTTCCCAGTTTGAAAAGACCTCTATTTTAATGGATGTACCGCAGGTTGTAACGGTGCTGCTGTAAGAATAGAACAGCCTTAATATTGCTGGAGTTTGCTTAATTTGATTTCCATAAAACTGATCTAATGATTCTTGGAAGGAGTGGGAAATCTCTAATCCTTCATAACAATTTGAGGGATCACCTTCATGCCGTGACTAACATTTATTTCTCTTCTCACAGGAGCCATGGAGAGTGGCTTGATATTCACTTTATTTATGCCAAGCCCCATGCTAATAAACAGATGGGACCCTGATGGAGCTGTTTCTCTTCTTCTGTCAGAACATTTGGCATTTGATGCAGGGCCCAGATATACTATTATGGGATTAGCCTGAACCTCATGTAGACAAGACAAACTAAAATATCCTGGCACAAAACTAAAGATGTATAGAGTAGGGCAGTGAAGACGTATGTATAGGCTGACCCGAATGTTAGCATTGCAAGTACAAAAAGCAATGAGATGTTTCCATTGGATTTTGGAATATTGCATAAGTGAACATAAGATGGATGGATGGATGGACGGATGCATAAAAAGATGGATGGATGGTTGGGTGGATGATTTTGGATGGATTGGTTCAGATGGAAGGATGGATGGGTAAATGCATAGATGGATGGATGGATGTTTCAGCGAGGGCAAACATGTGATAGACGTTGTGCCTAAAATAAATAACAGTTATTATGATACTGAGGTGGTTTATTCAGCGTGATCATCTCTACATGTTAATGCCAGTTTGTGGTTTTTGATTAGTAAATGCAATCGCCAGAGCTCATATACTAGAGTAAGGCTATAAACTACATCACAGACACATGACTTCACGTCACCAGCGCTAAGCTAAACGTGGATAATATCTGCTGTGTAGACGTTTAGTGGTCTCATTTAGTCACGTGTTAGCAACTGCTATTTAGCAATTGTGGATCTTGTTTCAAACATCTAATTACAAACACTAACACAAGACCTTAGACTTTGAGACGAGGGAACCTGAAGTGCTAAAATGCTAACTCATTTCTGGGTTTTCAGACTTATTCCTGCACCACTCTTAACAAACTTAAAGCAAATGCTATAAAGTTTGAATGCATTTCTTGGCTCGGTTTATGCCCTTGTCACTTAGAGGACATCATTTCAAACTTAACCAAAAGCCACTCTGCATGATCACCTTCACGCCATGTTAGCTTTCCTCCTTGATAGATCCGTTCACTTCCAGAATGATAATACCCCCATCAACTAGGCATGAGTCCAATGGACTGAATAGAAATGACAATGATGCTGGCCAGGAGCCAAAGCCTTCTCAGCACCTAGACATTATCCAATTGAGCATTTGAGAGTTTCAGCGAAGGTGGCAGAGACATTTTATTATTCCGTTATCAAAAAAGCGGGGCGCCCGGATAATCACTCAGAATTGTTATTTTAGCAGTGATTAGTGCTGACCTTGTCAGGGGAGATAACTCGACCAAAATTGCGAGGATAAGTAAACCTTGCTGTTGAGCAGCTGTGACTAAATATGTTTTTACGCTGCTGCCTTCCATTATTTTCATATTCAGATTAAGGTATCCAGGGATGTAGTGGAGGGCAAACAGCCCTAAACACTATTTACTCGTCTTTTTATTTGGAGATTAGAATTAAACTCCTTTTCAAGCAGGAAATGCTATGATACAACTTCATAAATAATGCTGTAAAAATATAATGTGGATTATATAAGACAGGGTGTTTCTAGGGACAAAACATTATACATAAAACACTATTTTCACTGTTATGATCTCTTATGTTATTCTTATGTTTAACGGAAATGAATAGAGTTACACCTCAACTTCATTTCATAATTCTAGTGTGGATTTTTTGCAAAAATGAAATTGCAGTGAAAAGGCAAAGAAAACGGAAAAATAAGCACAAGCTACATGTATTGAACTGAATGGAGACCACTGGACATCAGTAAGAACCATCACTACCTCGGTGGAACGGAACATCTAATCCATGACAAAGGGCAATTGCACTCGTTCCCTTTAGGTGTCGTGAAAACGGTGGAAGTCATATTGCTGAAGCATGCGCCAGTTTCTTGTTGCACAGGAGTTGGAGAAAGCAGACAAGGTAACTACTGTAGGAACAGGTGGTGCTCACAATATCATAGAAGCAGACATAATAGGCCCCGTGTAGCACACATTATACAGAGGGTGGTCCCAGCATCTCTCTGAGAAAGCAGCTGTGTCCATGCTTAAGCCAAGTATCGGAAAATAGTTTAACTTCATGCCAACTATTTCAGAAATGTTTAATAAAGTAAAACCCTTCTCTTACCGGTTTGTCATTTCTTGTTTCAGTACAACATCACAAGTGTTTTTGTTTTTTCTCCTTAACAATATGTAAATACTAGTATTTTAAACTTGTGATAAAGTATTATTTATAGCAGATTATTTTTGTGACGATCAAGATTCAGTTGTTAACTGATTGACACCACTATTTTTTTAATAGTATACTATATGCAGTAAAGTATTTACCCAGTAGCGTGGCGACACAGGCGAGGATAGCCAGCAGGGCGGCGGTGCTGAGGCCGGGGGAGGGGAGGGAGGACTGCTGAGGGAGACACACCGCCTCTCTCTCCCAGTCCCACTCGCCCTCGCCCTCGCTCTGTTTGTCCTTGTCTTTGTCCCCGGCCCGCGCCCCTCCTCTCAGGCAGGGACAGACGGACACGGTGACCGTCCCGCTGCTGGTGAGGCCCGACGTGCCGTCCCTCAGGACCAGCGGCACGTGAAACGTTAGGGTGGAGGAGGCGGAGCGGGACAGAGGCTGGAGCTGGGACAGCAGCACCAGGCTGGCTGTGGGGCCTGAAGAAGGAAGACAAGTCATTTGTTGTTAGGGGACATATTATGCTCCTTTTCAGGTTTAAAACTGTATTTTGAGCTTCTATGACATGTTTACATGCTTTAAAGGTCCTCTATTATACTGTTTTTCATTACTTTATTATAGTTCTCAGATATATACAAAACATGTCTCTGAAGTGTTTGGTTTGAAATACCAAACTGATCATTGCAGCATCCCATAATCCCCTCTGTTTCAGCCCTGTTTCAAAAGTGCTGATTCTCTGTCTGTTACTTTAGATGAAAATAAGGAGCCCCTCCCCACGCCCCTCTGAGAGATATTTGGTTGAAAAGAACACAATGGTGCTCTCGGAGGGGATTCAGGTGATAAGGTGGGGGGGGGGGTTACCTTGGTTGCTGATTGGCTAATGGTTACACAAGCCAAAAAAGGTTTTATATAAATGGATCAGGACAAAAAGTGAGCAAATATCTTTTCCTGAAACTTTCAGAATCTCTTCACACAGAGGGGACACATGGTGATGTATAAAAGACAAGAAAAAGTGGATTTTGCATAATAGGTGACCTTTAAAGTTCAAAAAGGTCTTTATTTTCCTCATACTGCCTGTGCTGCAGCACCTCTTTTCACAGGTCTGCTCTGATTGGTTAGCGGGCCAGCTCTGTTATAATTGATCAACCAATAAGAGATGTCCCGCCTCTTAGCAAATCACGTACAATGTGTTGGAACGCTAGCCAATAGATGCGTGAGTGTTACATAGTGATGTCAGTATATTACGGAAGTAAACATAGGAGTCCAATGGAAGCGTTTCAGGCAGGGGGGGGAGAAGCTCCCTCTGGAGGGAACACGGTTATTTTAGCCTTAACAGACCACTTACATGCACAAAAACCTATGTAACACACTACAGGAAAGGGGAGTATAAAAGCATAATAGGGCCTCTTTAACGGCACGCTGTGTTAAATTATCCCCAAACATCACAGTGCTCACGTTTGCAAATGTCCAATAGATAGGTGATTGATTAAAGTCTCAGGTATGTTTTCACTTATGAAACAGATTATTAGCACACAGGTCTTTGGTTCAATAGACCACCATTCCAAAAAGTACTATAAAACACTGTTGTGCAATAACCCTTGTTATATGCAATAAAAACTATTTGACAATCTCGTTTTGATTATACTGGCTGCTGCTTCACTACCTTATTGAAGAGATAATCACTGTTATGTGCAATATACACCTTTTCTACAATGTATTAATGTTATTACTGGCGGCTACTTCAACAGTTTTATATGTTAACTTGTTTTTTGGATTTCATTTTTATGACATATGCTGCCTCTTTATTTAATGTTAGTCTAATAACTTTAATTTGGCCTCTGTATCTGAACTGACCCGTTGCTGTAACACTGCACATTTTCCCGCTGTGGGACTAATAAAGGATGTCTGTTTTCTGGATTAAAAGGACAGAGAGCTCTATCGGTCTGATAGTGTTGGGCATTAGCTGTGAAGGGTCTCTGCGGGGGACATTCTTTTAGATTCAAATTAAGTATAAAAGGCTACAAAAAGTTCTGCCCACAAATGAGATGGCACAAAAACATAGTTTGTAAGATATTTAAAGCATGAGAGGCGGTGCAAAGTTGTATTAACATAAATGAATCGTCCAAACTATCGTCTCTGATCCGAATCCCAGATCAAATCGGTGATGTTTTCCAACAAAGTAAATAATGAAGCGTGCTTTTGTCAGACAAGCTGTCCGCATGAGAACAGAACACGTTCTCCTTTGTCTCTGTTCTACTGTCGGGTGACACATCAAAGAGCCCTTTGATTAAACATGTCAGCCAGTCTATCCTCCAGATTCACAGTTTATTAAAGCAGGTTTGCTCAAGTTAGCCAAGTTAAAGAAAAATGTGCAGGCCAATGGGAAATGCCTTCACTTTTGTTTATAGCATTCATCTGTCAACAGCTCACATATTTTGTATATTATTACAATAAGTAGTATTCGTTAAGTGTACAGTATAAATGTAGGATTCACTTTTTATTTTATCTTTCTATTGCTTCATTTAAATACACATTGGTCACATTCTCTTTTATTGTTGTTAATTTATTGCACAATTTGTTTTGCTGTTTTGTGTCTATTTATGTTACGCAGTTAAAGGAGGATTTTTATGGGGGTTATGCATCTGACAATAAATCCCTTTAACTCTTGAAAATGGGAACAAATATGTTCTTTGTTCACCATCTACCTGGATTAAAAATCATGCTATGCTATATACGATATCAGATTTAAGTCACACCTAACACCTTGCCGCCAAGTTGAGGTTTAAAGAGGGGTGAGAGGTGAATAAAGAAGAGGACTGCTGGCTTATGTAATTGGCCATGGACTGCCCAGCAAATGATGCAGGTTACAAAATATTCAAAAATGTCAGCTCTGCAAATGTTTGATGTATTATTAAGCATGTTTGTTAGGCTTTAGGAATATAAATAATGTGTTTTGGTGTGAGACACTGACTGAAAACATACTTGCGTGTGTTAACGAGAAAAACTCCCAGACGCAAAACATTTATATTTGTGGGCAAAAACAACATGGTTTGTGAATGTAGCAGCGTGTATATTTGTGGGTGAATGCAGATTTTTTATTATTTATTGAAATGTGTATTCAACCCTAAAGTCTATGAACTTTAGCAAATAATGAGCAGTACATCCTTGAATTTAAAGTGTATGTTTCCGCATTTGAGCTGTGTGTTCGTGCAGGAAAATGGCTGTAGGAAAGCGGAGAACGCACAAGAAACAAATACTAAGTATCCAAATTGAATAGAGCTGCTTCAGAATAAATGAAGTGAAGCAGCTCTGATTTCTTCAAAAGCTTTTCCTTGTAAATGGTAAGTATACCTGGTTGTGGGGAGGAGAGGATGGATGCAGAGGATAAGGGGAAGGCAAACAAGGGGGACGATTGAAAGAGAGGAGGCTAACAAAGCAAAACAATGGGGCCACCGGAGTTGGGAGATGGATGGCGGAAGAGAGAGGAAGAGACAGAAAAAAGGGGAAGGTGGAGAGAAGAGGGGTCTGAGGGGAGAGAAGAAGGAAAATAAATAACAGAGAGGACGAAGATGGGAAGAGAAAGGCGGAAAGAAAACATGGGATTAAGAGCCTTAAAAAAGTGGGGGGTAAAGAAAATAGTATGTCCGCCAAGGGAACACAAAAAAAGGAATTAAAGAGATATACAGAGAAAGGGAAAGATTGAGTGCCTACCTCCGCTGTCCCTGACGCTGAAGTTGAGGGCAGCGCTGGACTCTGGAGGGATGCTGAAATACACAGTGCTGTCATTCCCCCCCTCATCTCTATCAATCGCCCGCAACACCTGCACCACCTGAAAGCAGGAGATAGAGAGAGCAGAGGAGATTGGGTGAGGGGAGGGGGATATGTATGTCTTTGTGTGTGTGTGTGTGTGTGTGTGTGTGTGTGTGTGTGTGTGTGTGTGTGTGTGTGTGTGTGTGTGTGTGTGTGTGTGTGTGTGTGTGTGTGTGTGTGTGTGTGTGTGTGTGTGTGTGTGTGTGTGTGTGTGTGTGTGTGTGTGTCGTGTGTGTGTGTAGTGTAGAGTANAAGTCGGCAAATACGCAGGAGAGTCCGGCGACGCAACAGTCGGTGTCGGCGTCGGCGACTCCTCAGGTGACTGGCCGGTGTATCTGGGCCTTTACACAGAGTGCTTTTAGCTACAAACCATTAGCCGACGTCAGCAGGAAAACAAGCCAAACAATTAGTATGGAGACACGGGTGAACTGTGTCTGATGCTAACACCCAATAAATAACCGTGTTTGACGTGAATCGCCTTTCAAAAATACAATGTGGTGTGGATTTCAATTTAGTAAAAGCATCTGTGACCGAGTCTACAGTGGCAATCGTAAGGAAAATTAATCAGGAAAAAAAATCTCCTGCAGCCTAAGCTGATGAGTAATTTATTTTTAATGAAAAACTCCGGGCGTCATTATGCAAGACGTATTTCAAAAAATGCTTTCGAGTGCTTGTTACCAGACTGAATGCCAAGATGAAGGGTGCCGCATGCTCTCTGAGTTAGTCACTGTCTCCAGGCCTTGAGAACATTTGTTTTGTACAGTGGTATTTTGTTATCCGTTGCTGGGTGAATATTCAAACCCCACTCTGGCGCTAATGGCTTGTCATACAGAGAAGTGCACGCACAATCCTAACACATTCGGCGATATCATAATCTTTCTTCCTTGAACTGTCCCCCCACTCGCTGTGTACACAAACACAAATGTGAACATCACAGAAGGAAAAACAAATCAACGTCGCTGCCATAGAATCTCAAATTTAGTGGCGAAAAAACAACAAAGACACAAGCGGAGCAATGAAAAAACACCAGCTAAAACAACAGATGGGCCAAGACACCAAATCAAGGCGAATGGAGCCAGCGTGGAATACTGAAGATTGACGAGAGGAAAAGAGAGAGCAAACAAGGGTTTCTAATGGTTTGTAGCTAAAAGCACTCTGTGTAAAGGCCCAGATACATCGGCCAGTCACCTGAGAAGTTGCCGACGCCGACACAGACTGTTGCGTCGCCGGACTCTCCTGCGTATTTGCCGACTTCGCACACTGGAACACACCACAAATCCGAGCCGAGCACGTATGAACTGCGCATGCGTGATTGGCAATACTGTAACTCTCCTTACCAGCAGGCGGGGGTAGTGTGTATTCATCATTCAAAAGAGGCAACAACCGGAACAACCGGAAGACAGAGAAGAAGAACAGACTCCGTGATATAAACAAACAACAAATAGCGTTTTTCTTTCCATTTTCACTCTCGTCCATTGAAAACATGAACGAACAGGAGCAGGACGAACGGGAGGTACTGGAGCTAGCAGCCCTTGGACTCACGCTTGTGTTAAATCATTTGTTTACCTCCCTCTCCAGTACCTCCCGTTCGTCCTGCTCCTGTTCGTTCATGTTTTCAATGGNTTCAGACCTATTCTAGATCTCCGCAGCCTGAATCGGCACATTGCCTGCAGAAAATTCCGCATGTTAAAGGTGACCTATCATGCAAAATGCACTTTTGTACGTCTTTTATACATGAATATGTGTCCCCGGTGTTCCAGGGAACTCACCAAGTGTCAGAAATCACAACCCTCTCTATTTTCCTCCATACCCAAATCTCTTAAAAAGGGGCTGCAACGGATCTGATGCAGACTGATCTAGATTTGAACACTTCTATGACGTCACAGAAGTGGCACTACGGCTATTGGGCCAACTCCACCAATCAGGAGGAGACAGCCACGGACATTGCCGTTCGAAAGCGCTGGAGACGCTGTAGTACATGCCAGGCCTGTAGATGGTGCTGTTCTCACAGAATCAGCCCATGCAAAGACAGTGTTGAATTGAGCGAAATGAGGAATGGCTAAAATACATGATCTGTTTGGTATTTTGAAAAATAAAAAGTATAAATATGCCTTATATAGGTATGGTCCTAAACTATATTATTCAAATATAGCATGATAGGTCCACTTTAAGATTTTTTCATCACCAAATGTTGCCTTTCTATTGAATTGATAGTCAGTCATAGTGTCTTATAGACATCACACAATACTATATCTCACCGCTGTACAGGGAAAACTATATCTTTAAACGTGGCTGTTTAAATGTTTAAGATAACTCAAATAGAAAGGTTCCAAACTCTTATGCCCAAAAGTTTCTGATATATTTCCATTTTGGAGATGGCAAGAGGCGCTTTCACACCGGAGTACTTTTCCCAGTATACTAAAAATATCCGGAACAAGAACTTAGTTCATGAGAACCTCTTCACCCCCTTTATAGTCCCTGCTATTGAGCAGGTACTTTCGTGGGAGAAGAAAGTTCCCATTTCTGATTGGCTGGGCGGATTGCAAACCACACCCGTAAAACTCGGAAAAGTTTTGTGAAGCCGCCATTGTATTTGCTGGCATTAGCATTATTAGCATTAGAATTAGCACCAACGGAGAGAGAATAACTTATGGCAACGCAAAAATAACATAGGAGCGGTGGAGTGATGAGGAGGTGTCGGCGTTCTGGCGATTTACTCGGAAGGCTTCAGTTGAAGCTGCTGGGGACTTCTGGCCGGGGACTTCGGGTGGCAGTATACACCGTGAAGTTGTTTGCGGCCTGCCAGTAAACCCAAAGCAGAAGAGGAAGAAGTGACGTTTCATTTGCCTAATCCTCCCTCAGGAACTTATTCCGGTGTGAACGCGATCTGCTCTTTAGTTCATCAGAACTAAAGAGTTCTGATGAACTAAGTACTGGGAACTAAAAGTACTACGGCAAAGTACTTGGTGTGGAAGCGCCTATTGTTTCAGAGAATAGAGCAAATCTGCAGAAAGAAATAACACTGATTTGGCAACATTTCCATGTACTAAAGCTATGATTTTGGGGGTCTTTTTACTGGTGAGCGTCTGCGTGAAAAAATATGTGTGTGAATCGGGTAGCTCTGCATATAGAGAGAGTGTTTGAATTCATCACGGTGTCAGTTCTCAGCCTTGGGTTTGTAGGATTCGTTAAAAACAATCTGCACCTGGAGGTAGTGTGTAAAGCAGAAATCCCAATCCTTTGAAGAGAAGAAGCAGAGAAGGCAGGGAGAGGACTGGATATGGTGAGAGATGCAAGGAGAAAGAAATAGAAGGAAAGGGACCCAGGAAAGAGGAGAAAAGAGAAGGGATGGAGAAGATGGAAGCACTGAGGGAGGAGAGTTAAAATGAGGTCCTGCAGAGCCAGCGACAGCCGAGAGTGCAACAAGAGAGTAAGAGTATTGAAGGAACCAGAATGAGAAAGAGAGATGCAGAGACAGCAAGAGCTGCAAAATCAGTGACAGCCTTAGAGAGAAATTAGCACAGCGAGAGACTGAGAAGCACAGAGAGGTAGAAATACCCATCTACTAAGAAAAGCAGGTGAAGAAATAATCATAAAAATGAGAGCTCAAATGAAGAGAAACTTGGAGGGATGCAGCATGGCAACAACAAGACGGAGCCAAGATCTAAGCGCGGGGTGGTAAGAGAGAGAAGAAAAAAGAACATGCTGTGTCGATCAATTCAACATGCGCTGGGAGACCGGCAGAAAATTACATGTAAACAAATACAGTAAACACCTCCAACCCACAGTACTCCTCCCACTGGATTCATCCACAGCGAAGAGAGAGACAGAAACAAATTCTACAATTCGTTTTTCAACATGGAATCCTTCATGCGTTTTTTGTGTTGTTTTAATCCCTCCACAAAAGCTCCAAGACAGGCAGATACATAGACTAGAACAGCTATGCTAGGTAAAATGTTAATTAATGCTGATGACTCATATGTTACATGTGGATACATAATAAATGCATGAAAGCTTAGTGGAACATATACCGAGTCATTTACAGATACGTTAAGGCAGATGTAGCATAAGGAGTATTAGCATTTTAAGTAAAATAGATTGTGCAACACGGGACTCTTTACCCACAGAAAACAAATCTTGAATAGTTTTAAAGGTGGGGTAGGTAAGTTTGAGAAACCGGCTCGAGATACACTTTTTGTTATATTCCATGGAATGCTCTTAACATCCTGATAGCAATGAATATCTTAAGTGCTTTGACAAAAAATCCATAACAATATTTCATCTGTGGAAGCCGTAGTACTGTAAAAAGCACGACCAATCATTTTAGCCGGCCCGGCTAAAATAACTGGATGGCCTACCTGCCTGTCAGCCTTCCATCTGTGCACACACTTATCTCGTGCCCTCATTGGTCATGTGCACATTTGTGTGTGTTGGAGGAGGGGCTCTTTAAGGAAGTAGCAGATTTTTTCCGGCTGTGTATTTTCAAATTCTAGTGCACTCTAACTGGTTTCTCCAAAATTACCTACCCCACCTTTAAGGTAGGGACACACCAAGCTGACACCAAAGAACTCACACAGACGGACCCCCGACTGTTTTGTCGCCTTGCATCTCCTGCGCCTTGGCCATGTGTTGCACTGGAACACACCGCAAAGACTTTAGCCGTCGGCCAAGTAGCACGTACGAACTGCGTGAGTGGCAATAACTCTCCTTACCAGCAGGTGGCGGTAGTGTGTATTCGTCATTCAAAAGAGGCAACAACCGGAAGAGAGACTGCTTGATAACCAAGAGAAGAAGAACAGACTGCGTGATATAAACAAACAACAAATAGCGTGTGTGTTCCATTTTTACTCTGCTCCATCGAAAACATGTTTAATGCAGTACTGGCTGTATCAGTCCCAGTATATAATGTAATTTAAATCAGCTCCTCCTTTACCAGCTGCAACATTAAGGTGATGAGCACATTAATCCATCAATAATTATAATACAATAATATATATATTATAATGCTGTCAAAAT